TCTATGGACACACCTGAAATGGTGGCATTATGTGAAAACCTCTGAAAGGCTCCCATTCCTCATTCTTTGGTATCCCCCATTGGAAGGGGAGATTGGATACAGAAAAGGCCAATGTCAACGTGGGCATTCACGTTGGTACAAAATTGCCTTTATCAACGTGAGAAAAATACCATTCAAGGCAACCATTAACTCAGTTGTGTGTAAACCCCAAGATCCACCACTGTATTTAGGGATTTATAATCATGAATGAGGAAGCTTAGGCTAACGTGCTGCAGAGTTTCCAGATGTGCAGTGGACAGCTAAGCAGGAGTGTCAGGCTCCTGAGAGACTGAGGTCCATATTGGACTTGGACACAAAAATAGATGGTGAGCCAGTGAGACATATGAAGAAGACACATAAAAACAATCAGATTGCTTGCTACCACGACACCCAGCGTACTCTCTGATGGCTCACACCCATATTGTGCTCTATGCACGGATTTACTCTGTCAGTGACCTCCTCCTTCTGTGTGCTTTATTCTGCACTCACTTAATATGTTACATCACTATATGTTTCCTCTCTCCTCTTTCCTATAGAAAAAGTATTGTATTATTGGGTCATAGGCAATCACTTCCTCGCATGGTCTCTGAGGCTGCCCATCCAAAGTTCCTCCTTCAAGACACTGATGCCATCAATCCTATTCCTATTCATGCCTGTAATACTCATTTTCAAGGGAGGGAATGGAACCCAGGACCTTGACATGCGAAGCAGTTTCTCTACCACTGAGCCTGAATGCCAGCTCAGGACATCACTCGCCAAACATGAAGAACACTTTCCTCAGTGTAGGCAGCTGAGCAGCACAGAAACCAGATGGTGAACACAAAAACCTGAATCCTGTCCTCTAGTTCATGTCCCATCTGATTGCATATGTTCTATAGACTTGTGAAATGATCTCCTGTTCTAGAGACACAATTCATTTAAAAAGCTCATTGTTCCCTCGCACTGACGACTTGGTGTCCTCTACGTGTCTGCATACCTCCCCCCAGTCCAGGTGTGCATGGATATTCTATTGGGCGGTTGCCTTCTACACATTCGCCTCCAATTTCGCACAGGCCCCCCGCATTCCATGTACTCAGGGGATGTGTCATGTTGTTCTCGCTACACTGCACATGTGAGGCATGAACCTCAGTGTACCCACGTTGCCTTTATGCACTGATGTTTTATGCACGTGATGGTCCCAGTGTTGTCAAGTCAACTAGAAACCTTTCAGAGTGTAAATTGGGCCTCTCTCAGTGTATGCATCCCTGTCCCCTCTCCTTTTGGTCACTTGACAGGACTCCAACTGTATTTGTTTTGAGCCATGCAGATGCCATTGAATCATGGTCTGTTTCTCTCCCTGCAAATCCCTTCCTTGCTGTCACCATTTCCGACCCCTGACTGCCCCCCACCCTTTGTGCTCACTCATTGAGACACTGCTCTGGCCCTACCTACAGGAACACCACCACATCTGAAGTCTTTTATCCACACTAGCACTTACCAGGAGCTCAGTCAACTATCAGGTCAAGTAAATCAAGACTCTTGGCAATGGTGACTGATACCATTGACTGAGGATGGGACCCATAATGTTGTTCCCTCAACCCAGAAATCATGATGATCCAGAACTAAGGGAATCATCCAGTGGAAAAACAAGTAAAGAGCTAGCCAAGGAGCAATGCCAGAAACACCAGTCTGTGTACCTAGGAAATTTATGTCAGCTTCATCTAATGGTTTTCCTAATACCTAGCATAAGATCCCAAGGGAGGAAATCCAGTGGCAGAGTGTTTGCCAAGCATGCCAAAGTCCATGGGTTCCATTCTAGGATCACTCACTCACACACAGTAGCAATGTAAGTAATAAAATCAGCATTCAGCTGAAAGTGAAGCTGCAGGTAAATGCATGTGTGGGAAAAGAGAAGTGAATTACTGTTAGACCTATGTATTTGCATTAGGACACAGCATCCCTGTTCAGGATGTTCTAATTCATTTATGTCAATCTGCATATTTGTCAGCAGAACCACATTTCCATGTGAAGTCAGAGGAAGCGGGCACAACCCTTGGTGGTTCCAAGACGCCTCGGAAGCCAAAGGTATGTAAACATGTCCATTTCCCTTCCTGGCTTCCCAACATTTGCCTTGCTCTACTCATGGACAGTAGGCCCCATGAAATGACCTCTCTGACTATTCTCATCAAGCCGAGATCATCACTGAGTCCTTAGGTCTAAAAACACTTGGAAAGTTTAAGAATGTGCAAACCATTTCAG